GGGGGGGCGGGTTGAACACTTGCGACGCCCCAATCGGTCCCCCTTTTATGTATCCAATCCAGTTCCTCAGGATACCGTTACAGGCGGAGAGGTAGCAACGGTCCGGGAGATGGCACCGGTCGGCGAGGTGGCACCGGGGTGCGCAAAGAAAACCAAGAACTCGACATGCATGAACCTTTACACCGGGTTCGGTGAGATCGCGATTTCGCCCACCCGTGAAAACAAGATTGAGGTTTTTCGTGAGCTGTCGGAAAAGGTGGCATGTTGGCTACCTTCTTTTTAGGGAAAACGACACAACAGGGTATACCCTGGTCGAAAAGCGACACAGCTGGGTACACAGTCATTAACAGCAGAAAATGCGCTCATTTGATTGGTCNCCTTTCATCTTTCATCAATCATTTCCCCCGCAGGAATCTTCCCAACTCCTTTTCCCCTCCAACCATGAGATACCAAACGGCGATTCTTCCCGCCCAATAACAACCATGGTAACGGGGCAGGAATCAGTTTCCGCCCCTGCGAAACAACACCAACGATCAACTCTTCCGCTCTAAATCAACAATGGCCGCCGGGCAATACCCCAGCACAACTCTGTTCCGTTTGGAAACATGCACACACGTACGATACCCCGTGGACGACTGCATGCTGCAGTGTATATGCGAGATGCACGGGTCACGCTATGAAAGCGAGACCGATCCTGCATGGTTGACATGCATATATATGCACATATTCAAATGTATTTGCCAATGTGTCGCGCTGCGCTGAGCGGGCGGAGGGGANATCACCCGGGGTCACATGGGAGAATGGGAGGCCACACACAGAGAGCGCTTTCCTAGTGTAATATCAAGAAGCGAAAAAAAGAAGTAGTTAAGAGAAAACTGAATCAATCAAGTCACCTCGAGATCTTCCATCACGAACCAAGGATGGAATGCCGTACCAAGAGACCCACCTACCACGGTCGGACCGCAATCGATCGCACAATTTGGTCAACGATGAGATGGTGCATCATTGCTTGTTCTTGGCGATCTTTTTTGCCTTCACATTCCGCCGCCATTCGGGGAAGATGAGAACGGAGCGACATCAGAGAAGACAAGAGGAGCGATGTACATGCATCAAACCAACCCCTTTCAGCCCTCTCCAAGAACCCACGTACACGCATCAAATCAACCCCTTCGGTCTTCTCCAGGCCTCTGAGCAGCAACGAAAATAGGAGAAAAGTAATCGCCTTCGACGAACGTTGGGCAGGTGGGACCTTCGTAAAGGTGATCACCTCCACAGCAAGCACCAACCAAATTGCCGCAAAACTGGAAAAAACGTTGCCGTTATAGAGTGGAATGATACGCGCACAACATCAAACACCAACAAGAAACACGGTGCAACGAGGGAATCGAATCCATGCTCCCCAACAGACGATTGGGAGAGATGGAAACCACTTGCCGTCCAAAAAATAACAACAAATCACAAAAAATGTTCCGTGGCTGGCGAACAGCCCAACTATCCCTCGTTCGGCCTCCCGCATCGGACCTTTTCCTTTCCCGCTATGTTCGACAAAGGAAGAAAATTATAAAATTACGACGTCACCTCCACAAAATCATCCTCCTTCTAAGCCTCTTGAAATTAAGTTCTCACCTGCGTGCGCGTGGGAGTGTTCAACATCAACGGGACTCGCTTCTGCTGCTGCTGCCGCCGCCGCAGCCGCCGCGTTGTTCTCCAGTATCGCCATCGAGTCCTTCTGGTCATCGATGGTGCCGGAGTCGGCCATGCCCTGGCCGTCCATCACCCCCAACACGTCTGTTCCCGCAGCGTCAGCGTAAATTTGGAGCTATCTACGGGAACGAGATTTGTTGTTTTTAATCACTGCTGGGCGCGCAAAGAGTCGGTTGTATCTCTTCTGATGTCACGGGTTTCGTGGACGAAGTTGTCGTGGGCATGTCTTTTCAAAAACCAACAAAAAAGAGCACAAAAAGTGTTGACATAACGCACACACGTACACTGTCTCTTTTTGGTGGTATGTTCTGTCTTGTTTTCTCCCACTTCAAGTAGTTCTAGCGTGAGGGATGAAAGGAAGTCTGACGTCATGCCTTGGTCCTCTTGGTATTTGTAAAGAACTGTCGTGCATTCTGATAGTTGCGAACAGACGACCTATGGTCCCCGCCAAGGTAACAGCAATTTCGGGTTTGGGCCATCGGAATCCTGATATGGTCTGTATACCAGTACTTGATCGCCAGGGTTATACACGGAAATCGGTCTCAATTTGGAATTACTAGCCGCTTGCTTGTTCGCTTCGTAAAGTTTCGGCGCGCTAATTCGAAAGCAATTTGTAAATTGTCCCGCGTGTCTTTCGCAAGTTCTTCGGTATTGGCTGTTGTTCCTACATGAGGAATACCGAGAATGATATCGTCAGGTAGTCGTGGGTGTCTACCAAACATGAAAAAAATGGAGTTTCATGCATGGTTGCACTAAAAGAAGTGTCATGCGCCAGGATCTAACTAAGCAACGCCGTCGTGCCGAACAATGCTGTCTTCCGTGCACACGGCTTGATGGTGAACCGGCGGCAAGAACCTGCCGATGTGTCTGATACGCGCTAAGCTGAGGGGGTTCTGCACCAAAACCAAGCCCCCCTGGTTACCGTCAAGGGCCTGGATGCCGCTACCACTGGTTTCTGGGGCAGCAAACGATTGGAGGCACTGTATTCAGCCACGAAAGCAAGACCCGGAGAAAAAGGTGTGCGTTTTGCGATGGGTCAGGCCGCTCCACGAAATACCGTCCGTTGATGTGTGTGTGCGTTCCAGACCTGTTCGTCTTTAGCGTGGTCACATGCAACAGGAATCCCTTTTCCGCCGGCGGCCTCGATTTCGGCAGCGGTCTCCTCCAAGCTTCCTCCTATTTCCTGTAGTGCGCGAGAAATTGGTGGGAAAAGTTTGCTACGGAAGCGCACGATTGCATGGGGGAGTTGTAACACAGTTCCGGCATGCATAAAATTCAGGCTCGTCCTCCATAATATCTCTTGTGCTGCCGCAAGGCACTTGCTGCACCTCAAACCTTTCAAAACCGGTTTGGAGCAGTACCGTAGGTTGCATAGGATATCACACTTTCATTAGATACCACACCTCCTCAGAAAACGTACACAATACCACACCCGTGCGTTATTTTTTAGTTCCGAAAAAAGCGTCATTTTATCACACGGTGACATAAGATACCCCAACCCCTGAATTTGGGCCGCATGTTTTCAGCGGAGCCCCCGCTTATCACACGGTGTGACAACGTGAGGGCATGAGATCGCAAGCAACAACCTACTCGAAAAGGCCACGAAGGCCAATAATGCCGTGGAGGGTGGTGCAGTTAGCAACCCTGCTGAAAGTCCCGCGGCTCAGACTGCAGTGGGTTGAGACTTCAGCGGGGGCCCCACGCTCCATAGTGTCCTTCGTTTCACCCGCCCCGGGGGAACGTGGGGCTGCTGGGATGACTCCCTCAGCAGCCGCGCATGACACCGCACGTACTGCTGAGGCCCGCCCAGTAGAATCTACCGCTGCTGAGACTCCCACAGCACCGGCTGCGCCTACCACCGCGGGTGCCGCTGAAACTGCGAAGCAGAGCCTGCTGCTGAGACTCCCGGGTTAGCCCACACCCGCACCCGAAAAGGCAGCTCTCCCGCCAACCACCAACACCCTGAGCGCGGCTACTGCTTAAAACCCTGCAGCAGCACCGCGCTGCGGAGAACCATCGTGCACCAACAAGTCCTTGATATCACACCCCCTGAAAGCCGGGTCCTGTGAGCGCGCTTCAACACACCGGCGACGGTATCACACCCCATTGTTCTCACACCCCCCGTTGGTGAGGCTGTGTGAGTGCACTTTATCACACGGGCGACATAACATATTACACCCCCTACAGAATACCACACCCGTATGATATCTTTTGTCCCCCCGAAAATGTTATGCCACGGGTATGGTACCTTATGCAACCTACGGTATATCTTTGCTGCTGCTTTGAACGTCAGAATGGCAATCGGCGCAGCCATGTCAAAATTGGGATGCCACTGCTGTGTTCGCCAGTGGTTACTCGAAGAAGCTATGAAAGTAATGCGTGTCGATTCGTAGTCTTTCGACCTACGTCTGTTTTTACGTAACAGCCAATCAAAAAACGTCTTCTGCACGCCAATGCTTGGCGCACGAGGATCCGTGAGGAGCCTCTACAATATCCCCCGGCCAAGCTGCCTTTGGCATATCCTTCGATACAGAATCCTTGACATCGGAGCCACGGAGTGTGCCCACCTTTCGACCAAAACGCCGGGAAATCTTGACCACACCGACGTTTTGACCGACCCTAAATGTACATGAAATAGTCTTACCACAGAGGAGCTCTGCAAACACGGGCATGGGTACTTAGAGGCCACGGTGCGCTGACTTGACTGGTGGGATGGCGTTTGGGGACAGCGGGCGTGGGGGATAGGACGCCATGCGTTGAGCAGCACTCGACAGCGGCACGCGGAGTTTGGTGTGAAGGATGATGCTCCTAGGCCATGGCTCTGCTGTGCGAGGCCTAACCACAGTCCGCCAACAGCAGAAGTCGGACGAACTTGTTGGCATGCATTAAAGATTGGTGCTACCAAGTAGCAGCCTACGGCAGTAGACTAGTGTATCGTACACCACGTGTGCAAGTGGGCGGTGCATTAGCAGGCGGGCCGCAAAAGTGGTGAAGGCACCAGGGTAGATATTACAAACGCCGACTGCCACAAAACCTTCACGTGTAAGACTTGGTACCGTGAACAATCAAACCGTCACACCCGGACTCTAGGGTACTCTCGCCCATGGAATATTGCAAGGTTAGGTTCTGTAGGGTACCCACAGATCTATACCGGGGGTAATTACCCTCTATTTTACCCTACAGAACAATTCTGTGAGTTCTGTGCCCGTAGCGCCACAATACCCTACACTTCTGTGAGTTCTGTGACGGTTGCACCACAATACCCTACACTTCTGTGAGTTCTGTAGCACACCCGATACCCCACAGAGATTACCCTCTTGTTCTGTATACAATACCCCAACACTTCTGTGAGTTCTGTGACGGTCATGCCACAAAACCCTACACTTCTGTGAGTTCTGTAGCACATCCCGTACCCTACAGAGATTACCCTCCGGTTCTGTAACAGATCCAATACCCCACAGACATTACCCGTACCCTACAGAACCTAACCTTNTACCCTCTTGTTCTGTATACAATACCCCAACACTTCTGTGAGTTCTGTGACGGTCATGCCACAAAACCCTACACTTCTGTGAGTTCTGTAGCACATCCCGTACCCTACAGAGATTACCCTCCGGTTCTGTAACAGATCCAATACCCCACAGACATTACCCGTACCCTACAGAACCTCACCTTCACTTCATGTTCTCACCTCGTCATGATCATGATCATGTTTGGTATTGTTGTCTTGAACACAGAGCGAGATCTGTGCACCACGCGGAACACATGTTTATAAATCGGCACAGCCCGCATGCAGTTGCATAAGCATGAGAGGTGGTGCCAATGGTCCAAGCCTAATCCTTCCGCTCAAGCAACGAGCCGTGTGATAACAAGTCGGTGACAAAGAAGATGGTGACAGCTTGTCAATCCTGTGCTTTGCCGTTCAGGTGAAACTGGCCGGCACGGTGGGCGTGCGGGTGGAGGAGCTCACGCCCCACCGATCCGTCGTGAAAGTTGCCAACGTGCGACGAGTGAGTGGGGCTGAAGTATAGCATTTGTCGTGGAGTAAATTAAGTAGAGGTCCTTGTGTAGTGCCCGGTATGTGCGCAGAAAAATCACCGGCACTACACCGGGCCGGCACTACAGACAGTGTTTAAAATACTCGCAATGGGATGGAAATTCAGCGTTTGCCCGCCGAAAACAGCGGCACCTCTTCAACCGGCACTGAACACCAACCAGGGATCTCTATGCATAGACAGTACTTCTGTAGCAGTAGTCTAGTAGTGGGTAGTAGTACAATAGTTGCCGCTGCTGTTGGTGGGAGTGATAAGTGTAGGTGGTAATGGTCGTGACGTTGCTGCCATGGCCTGTTGTCGTTGTTGTTGCTGTAGTTGTTGCTGAGGCTTGGTGTGTCACGCCGGTTCTGCTCGCTGTTGGGAGTGGCCTGTTCTTGCTTGCTGCCACTTCTGTTGCTCTTCCGAACGAAGCGCATCCATCTCCACATCTATCTATGCTGTCCAGTCATGGCAACTAACCAGCCATGTCATTAAGCACACTCTCGCGCGTGAAATACGAGTTTGTTTCCAACCACGATAAAACCCATCGTCTGGCACCAACAATGTGTATGTAACTTAATAGTCTAGTCTAGTGATCGCGGTGTTCACAACGACGGAATTGTGTTTGGCAATCCCAGACGCAGAACCGCTTCGGGGCTGTCCAGTCATGGCAACTGAACAGCAATGCACACTCTCGCATGAAATTCGAGTTATTAACCACGACAACTAATACAGTTAGCGCCGCCATTTAAGAACCTCTTATTTAGGCCGAGGTTCGTTTCTTGCCTTCTCTGGTCTATGGGGTACCCCAACGGCGACTACAATATCTAGGTTTTTGCGTGGGCTTTATGACCGAGCCCTGTTCTTTTGACCAAGTTCTTCAAGTTTTCGTTTCTTGAGCCGCAATTTCGTAGCTCCCAGGTTCTTATGTGCGGGCGCTATATGTAACTGTATGGCACCAACGATCGCGGTGTTCACACCGACGGATGTTTTTTCGTCGATCCCAGATGCAGAACCGCTTCGGGGCTGTCCAGTCACGGCAACCGAAGAACGACAGCATGAAGCACACGCATCCTACTCGTGACTAAAATCCATGTGATATGTGATCGTGGTGATAACTATGTCGGAATCGATTTTGTCGATACCAGCTGCACAACCGCATCTGAGCTGTCCTGTCATGTCGATTGAGCAGCTACGACACCCACACGGTCTCGCGCCAAGAAGATCCAATCTTATCCACTACAAATAATACTCATGAACCAACAGGTAGAGCCAACCAAAACAGGGGACCACGAGAGCGAGCGGTGTCTTCACCCTCGGAATGTTTTGTTTGTCGATCCCCCAGTAGGCGCAAAACCACATCCTTGAGTAGCCCAGTGATGGCAACTGACGAGCGACGACACGTGCTGCCATAAAAATATACCAAGTACGACGCAATTTATGCTTTTACTGTACCAACAAAGTACGGATTACAAGCGCGGTGTCTTGATGTTATCGATCCTGCCCGATAGGTGCAGAACCACCTCGGGAGCGTGCACGCGCGCGGCATGGCTCTCGCCTCGGAATCAGCCACGGGAATCCTGGTCGGCATGAGCGTGGCCGACAGCCGGTTGCGCCTGTGCAAGAGCATGGCGATCGATTTCACAAGGCTGTCGCAAGGTTTTGTAGACTATGTTTATTATATATGATAGGAAAGGCCGCGCCTTCTTCGGCGATGTCCTCTATGATGTTGATGCGGTCGAGTTCACAAGGCTGCCGCAAATTCGGCTTTTTTTTTAGCAGTGCCATTATCTTCTTTGGGTGTCCTCGTTGTCGGTGATGCGATCAACTCCACGAGGCTTGCGCACAGCGCGTGTTCTAATTAGGCCACCTCTTGCTTGCGATGTCATCTATAACGAAATGTAACACACGTTTTTGCTACCGGCACCGGGCGACGTAACGGCCGTGGCGGAGCTAAGCGAAGAGCAGCTCGCCGCCGTTCGAGACCAGGAAAAGGGGGAGGCGAATGTACAGGTACCGTAGGTTGCGTGGCGTGAGATACCGCACCCTCTGGACTGGCGTTCCCTTTTTTTTAAGACTGTATGCAGATTTGTGATTTCGTCTCTTTTGGTTCGATGAGGCTCGCTGAGCTCTTCGAGTCGAAACACGTCAGCTGTGTGACCTCTTTGAGCTTGGAAACAAACGTCACTGGTGGCAGCTGGCAGGTGATTCACACAAACACACGCTTCACCTTCACGCCTTTTATGACACTACACCACCACAAGTACACTCTGATGACCCCGTTCCGGAGGCACACCTTGAAGGAAATGTTCAAACGCATAAAACCAAACAAATACTCGAAGAGAGACTGCCCGGTCGAGATAAAACCACAGAGATCAAAGGGGGTGGTTTGAAGTATTTTGCAGTGACTGGGAGAAAAACCGACTGGATACTGGGCTTACATTAAGCCTATTGTTAGCCTCGCGCTGATTGTTTTGACAGTGATGCCAGCTGGTGCTAAGCGATCAGGCATATTTTGTTCCGTTTTTTGCTCTTTTCCAGGTGACGGTTACAGATGAATTCGGGAAAGAGCCTATCCGAGCGGAATTCGTGTGGGCCTGGGTCCCCAAGCGATGGAAAAAAAAATCAGTAGTAAAAAAGAGCCAGAGGAACGGTTGTGAATAGAAATATGTAGAACAGTCGGTGGAAACGGCCACGCTGTGGATACTGAGGATAGCGAGAATGGTATATGGAAACAGCAATGAGATTCGTTCTGGGCGTTGCTTTGTTTGCCAGAGGGCGCCCGGGGGGTGGGGGGTGGGGTGGGGTGGGGGGGTCCCCTTCCTCTGAGCCGCGTGAGGCAATTGTTTGCTGGAAGTTGGGAACGTTCCTGAGACGGACGGCTTGGGCTTCTTGTCGTACAGAGTGTCGTTGTTGTTGTTGTTGTTGTTGTCTTTTGGCCAAAAAAAGCCACTCAGGGCTTACCTCATGTCCGTGCCGACCGGGTGGTCCAACGTACGCGTGTAAAAGGTGAAGAAACCGGTGATCGTTGTGGCATACCCTCGTGTTGCTCAAGTACCAGGCTACCGCATGCAGTAGTAGCGCAAACCTTGCGCATATGGTTGTGTTGTTTTGGAAGTCGGCTGGTAGGTACGAATCACGTGTAGAGGTGGACGCCAACGCCGCGGCAGTTGTCATCGACGGCAAGCGTCTGGGGCACACGGGGCGCAACCCTCGCTGCTACCGCCCTCGGCACCGTCCCTGCCTTCGCCTCCACTCCTCCCTCTGCCCCCTTGTCTGCCTAGATCTACGAATTGGATACTGTCGTGGCCTGAAGTAGAAAGATGGTTTGAACGAAAACGCGAGCGGCATCGGCTCGAAGAAGCATGCTATGAGATCAAGTGCCGCAAGTTTACCGTCTCACAAGCGTGGCACTGTTGATAAGACGCAGGGTCACTACAGTTAGCGCCCCTAAAAAATAAAATACCTTGAAGAAACGAGGGCTCAGATTTTGGCGAAAAACAGGAAAAATGAACTTTACAAACACATCTCAGCCGTGGATCCTACACTTGAGCTCTATATGATGACCTATTCTCGACGGTGGGGACGAAATGAGAAATTGAGCCTCGACCCCAATTTGACGCTTTCTTAAGCTGGCGCTAGCTGTGCTACTGCGTACTACCGGATTATTTGTGTGTTTGTGTCAATTTCATCAAGCATGGCCTCATCAGTACAATGGAAGTGCATCGTTCGCCAATTCACTAGTACCGGTAAGAGGCGGAGTGATGGCACCCCCCTATAGCACCGATTTTCAAACCTCGATTGCTTTCACAAACAAGATTGATTGTGCCAGCGCCAGAAGGTGGTCGTTTTGGAAACATCTCGTCGAGAGAAATCCGTTCACCACGTGTCAGGCTATTTCCGCATCCACTTGTTTGTGGAGCAATCGATCGTTTCGGGTCGGTCTAGGAGGGGGTACCATCGCTCCGCTTCGTGCGGTGGTCAGTGATGACGAGGAAACTTACTTGCTGCGTCGTTGGCAATAGTCTAAATGTGCCTTTCTTCCCCCCACCGAACAAAGGACACGAATTGCACACTCTCTACGCTCAAATATGAGGAGGATCGGTGAGGAAGATCATTGCTGGTGTGTACGCAGTTGAGTGTGACAGCTGTGTCATCTTGTAATTGATGGGAGGACAACACACACTTCATTGAGTAGCTTAGCCTCCCCGTGACGCCTCCTCACGGGGTCCCAGATCATGGCCTTGAGAGGCATGTTATTTTTCGTGCTTTGACCCGCACCGAGACTGACGACGTGTTTTTCATTTTATGTCACCCTCACGGTCACGGTAATAGCAATACTTTAATCAAACACATCATTAGTATTAATTCCCGCTCTGCCATGTGGTTGACTACATGCAGACTTGTATGAGTACATGCATTTTCGGCTTCTTTCAGTCTCGTTGCACTCAGGGGTCTGTCTGGTGTAAACGCCCCCCCCCCCCCCCCCCCCCCCCCCCCCCCCCCCCCCCCCCCCCCCCCCCCCCCCCCCCCCCNGGTAAACCCCCCCCCCCCCCCCGCCCTTCAGTCAACATGCTATGTCGCCCGCGTATTGTGCCGCGCAAATCTTACCCTCCACATGAACGATGGGTTATCTACTTGATGGTTGAATTTTACTTTTTCTGCTTTTTATGTGCATGTGCGTGGAAAAGACACATGCATTCGCTTGTGGACTACCGTTGATGCTGTAATCTAGTCTACACATCGTTCTTTTTTCCCCTGCCTCCGCTTACATATGCTCTTGATGTACGTCAGCGGGATTTTCTTTGTGGCCCCGGATTCGAGCTCCTCGGATGTATGTAGAAGCAAGATCGTGCTGCAGGGAAGTCATAACTGCGAGCGCGGGCAAGGACCATGTGCGGCATGTATGGGAAAAGTGGGGTGGGGAAACGTGCATGTGAAACACATTTTTTTGTGCACAGAATGAATCTTCTTCTTGCGACCACGGATCGGAGCTGTTCGTATAGGGAAGCAAGAACGCACTGTGGGGTAAAAACTCGAGCGACGGTAAGAGCAACAGATACATTTGCGTTGTTTGGCCCGAGAGCGAGAACAAACCGAGATCGAGGGGGGCGCCGTGGGCGGAGACAACGTGGGGGGGGCTTTCGGCGAAATGTAACAAACAAATTGCGTGCTCCCTGCCGGGTGGAGAGCTGGCTACCCCATATGCCATTCACAGCGTCGCGAGTCGCAGAGTGCCAAACTCTGCTTTTCAACGACCGAAGAGCTCACGCTCGCACAGCAGCAGCAGCAGCAGCAGCAGAAGTGCCCGGTCTACCGCGGTCAGCGGAGGGTTTGTGGATACGAAGAACGGAGGATCATCATGATGAGCACCAGCGGATTTGGAGGAGGAGGAGGTGAGTTGATGCAGGGGATGGAGGAGTCCCCCGCCCTGCTCTCTAGAGGAAGGACATGTGCCTCTGTCGGCTTCGGTCGTTCTCGTGTGTGCAAGACACACGAATCCATGGATATCATCCGCATGACGGGTTGGTGCGTTTCATCTGATGATGTTCTCGTTTTGGCTGCACCGTAGGTAAACTGCTGGTGGAGGTATCCTTGTTGTGAGTACTCTGGTGCGGACTGTAGCGGACTAGCGAGAGTTCCCAGAACATATGCGAGGTGTCACATACTTTGGGGGTAGTTATGCTTGAATCCTGCTAAAAGGAAGTAGAAACGGGCAGATGTTATACTTGGTATTCGGTTTTTGCTGATGACCCGATCAACCAATCCAATGCAGAGCGATGTGGCTCTACGCTAACGGTTCTTGTCGGTGGGTTGCTCCATGTCTCGGACGGTTGTCGCCGAAGATGATAGATCAAAGACTAAAAGATCGAGGATGATAGATGATGCTTTGAACATGAAGCTTTGTCGTTGATTCTGCTTGCTGCTGTACTCAACTCAAGCCGATCCAACACTGCTGCTGTTCGACCCAACTCCTGCACTCACTTGCTGGAACCAACCACCGCTTCGAACTCTGTCAACGCACTGGCAACCGGACACTCAAGCTCGCCTTCTGCTCCTTGCCCTGGTAGACTCTCTCTTCTGGACACATGAGCGGCAGCGATGCTGCTGCTGCTGCAAAACATCCTTCACGTACGTCCACAGAGACGTGCTAATTCCGTCGCAAAGCGGGGACAAAATCCAAACATCCCCTGAAACGAGCCTACTTCGTACCACATTCCCCCACACTACTTTTTGACATGGTGGAAAATTTTCATCATGTCGAAAAGTAATCCACAACGTCATGATTTCCTCCAGAGAAATTGGTATTAAATACTATTTTCTATTTTCCACACTGAAACTGGTATATTCTCGCTCGCGGCCCCTCTTACCTGGCGACAAAATTTCCAACACATATCCTTCTCGAAAATGGCCAAACAGCAGTACTCGAAAAGCTACGGAATTCGAACTATCCTTAGCAGGGACCCGTTTTAAGCCCACGAGATCAAGCCTTCGTCAACCCTTCGGGCCCGTGAACCCCCACACAGACCACCACACACAAACTCCAAGAAAAAATTTCATCATACCATATGCCGTCCAGAACCCCACCTTGCCCCGTGCCGTGCTGCCGTTTTTGGAAACGACACCCGGCACCAACCCCAAAACATTCCGGCCCAAACTCTTTACCTGACTTGCTAATATCCGATCGCTACGAATGTTACTGAACGAAAGCATTTTTGTTCCCGGCACGAAAGACGCCGTATTCACCCCACAGAAGGGCGGCAAGGAACCCCTGTGACCCCCCTCAATCCGACATTTGACTGTTGAAATCGGCGCGACCCGACGGTGCACACCGACCCCCAAAATGGACTTCCAACAACTAAATCAATCGCTTCGCGTTGTTTTGTGACTCATACCCCAGCTTTATGAAGCCATGAAGTCCACCCGAGACACATTCATCAACGATCCTTTGACCAATTTTCTCCCACGCGTGTCCGATATACGCGCACTCTTCCAACGCAAGGCTGAAGCTGAATTATCAAATGTACATGATAACTGTTTTGGATCTTTGTTTTGAACCCTTCATCAACAGAAGACACGTGCGGCCCGTACTCAGTTGAATAAACTTAATCACACCACCCACAATATACTACACCTTCTCGCCTGTGTTGCGCCGTAGCTCTCACGACTGTACTCAATGGTCTCTGCGATCCATATCGACCTTGAACATTCTAAAGTTTCTGACGCTGATGCTCATGTACTATCCGGTCGACGGTGCTACAGTTTCCATGCAGGGGGGGGCCATATCATTTTTCCGGTTGTTGTTTTGTCGACGCTTTCTTCGGCGTCTCTATCGTTGCCGCACCGTCTCCATCTCCACATTCATGCGTTGTTTTGGTCGGGGTGTGCCTGCCTCTGGTTCTCGCCGTTACTTGATTTTGGACGCTGCTCTCGCATCGTTGTTCGCTCATCCTTGCGCGGAACATGCCAGTGAACGGACTCACCGCCAGCCGCGAGAGGCAGACCGTGCCCAGGCACCGTGTGGCGGGGCACGACGTGGGAAGGGAGAAGGTGGAGCGAGTGGAAGATAAGGTCGTGGAGGGGAAGAAGGGGAAGATGGTCATGCTGGAAGTCACCCAGAAGCCACAGCAGCAGCAGCAGCAGCAGCAGCCGCCAACGCCGAGGTGAGAGTAGTGTGAGAACACTGTCAACCATCCTTCACATTTCTTGGTCGAAACCGGTTGTTCGATTGATGGCTTTGATACATACACAAGACCTCAAATGCGTCGAAAATACGCAAGTCTTTGTCGGAAACAACATCGAGATTGCCCAGACCGGTTGGGATCGATGAGTAAAATTCCCTTTTTTTTCCCGCCAATTCGTCCTCTTCGGCTTCGCTTTGCCTTTTCCAAGATCGCTCTTGTGCGCGAACAACTGTACTTGGCGTTGTAGATCGAGGTGCAAGCCTCATCAAATGTTTGGCCTGACACTGGTTGGTCGTTTGGGAGGAAATCCAGCTAGGACCCATTTGCTCGTCCCATTTTCTACCAATAAACCACGGTTTTTGCCGCGGCATCGCAACCACCCCAACCCTGACCTCCTCCAGAAACACCGTTTCCCCCCTCCAAAGGGGCACTCGCTGCAACACAGCGAGTGCATCCTTTCTGCACAGATATCGTTTCCGTTCTGAGCCCCCAGCAAGGTCCCTACCTTTCGCAAACCTTCAAAATAATCACGAGAAAATGTGAAAAAAGTGACGAGCTTTGACGCCCGCGATCCATATTCCTCACTTGCACGTAGCGGTGCGGAACCTTGACGTCGAGCAGATGGGATGGGCACAACATGCTCGACTGCCTTTCGAGGCTTGCCATAGTGTCCACGAAAATGGGGTACGTGTGTGCACATGCATCAGTAATAACGCCCTCAATCATTCGTCATTGTTTCTCGTGCTGCTGCGAGACTTACACACGGTTGTGTGAGGTTCCAATAACAAATACGGGAAAGCTAAGGGAAGGTTGCACCAAGCTAGCTGCCTTGACTGACTTCCTTGTGTGGTACAACCTTTGGTACGACAAATGCAACGTTCGCTGCACCATGCTCGCGCCAGGGTGTCGATCAAGCTCACCTCGGCAGCCCGCAGAAACGCGAGGACGCCAGCTGAAGTTGCCAAGGCTTCGGCCGCGCCCGTACCGGCGGCGACGATTCTGCGGGGCCCCTTGGTCGCGCACCGGGAGAGCGGTAAGCGCAACGGCAACAGCGACCACGGGAGCGACAAGGACGACCACAGCTTCCTCGAGGACGACTTCAGCTTTGATGACGACGATTTCGAGGGCTCATCGAGCTCACCCACGGCGTGCCCGTTCAAGGCTGCAGTAGAAACAACAGAGCTTGCTCAGAAGGCCAGGGACGAGCTTTGCCTAGCGGAACTCGTAACGGAGAAGAGGAAGGATATGGTTGATGAGAAAATGCGGGATACCGATGTGACGTGGGTCCAACAGCTTTCCGTCAAAGCCATGAACGCAGTCACTGCGGCATCGAACATGACTTCCGGTGCTGCTGCTGTCATGTATACGGCGAATCGCGGGGACCCCAGAAACCAGGCGATGGGTTCAACGGCGGCGTTGACGGCGGCGGGAACGTGCTCGACGTCGGCCCCTTCCAGTACGCCTCAACGGCGGAGATGGAAGCGCATCAACCGGAACGCCAATGCATCTGCCGCAACCCCCCCCACGGGAACTTCTCAGCCAGGAGAGCGGGGGACCACCACCACAGCAGGTACTGGGTCAGATATCACTCCGTTATGGTGGAACACGTGGTACACACACTAAGATGGGATAGGCAGTGTTTCCGCCTGTCTTGTGTGTTTGGCATCTTGCCTGTTCCCAGGGTCATCGCCGAGATACTTGGTTTTGTTGCAATCACAAGAACAGTTTGGTTTGTCACTGAAACAAGCCTCCCCCAACGTCAATAGCGCCAGCAAAGGATTCGTCCGAGTTCAGTGTGAGGTGATGGTGCAGACTGGCCGTGTACGTGTAGAAACAGCAGGATATCGTATCGGCGTGGGCGAACGGCTGCCACCCAAAAACACTGTGAGTCTTTTGGATATTATTTCTGAACCCTTCATCAACAGCAGACACGTGCGTCCAGTGCTGAGTTGAATGAGCTTAACTCTTGTCGTTGAGCCGACTCTAACAAGTGCCTGTCTCCCCTCGCTCTCCGCCCTCTTGCGCTTGTTCCACTACATCACCTATCTCAATCCTGCACTAAGTCATGGAAGTGCACAAGAGGCGCGGTATCAACGCCACCGCCACGATGGCCACCGCTGCCAAGCCCCCTCCAGCCAGAAACGTGTCTTCCGACGAAGGTGAGGCAGCATTGGCGATGGCGGCATTGGCACAACAGCCAGCGCTGCCTGCCAGAGAGACGGAGGCCATGAGGCCGATTGCTGGTCCAGTGGAAACTAAGGCCGTTAAAGCTGGCTTCTCGCACCGCAAGGCAGACGGCTCAGCAGGCTCCCCAACGGAGGTGGCGGCGGCGGCCGTACGGGTTGCAGCAATCGGCTCAGCTCCCTGGGGTGTGCCCCCCGCATCGGCTGCTCTGCCTGTGACGGCGTCAGGCTCAGGCAGCAGCTGCCGTCACAGGCAGAGCAGCCGGTGCGGGGGGCACACCCCAGGGAGCTGAGCCGATTGCTGCAACCCGTACGGCCGCCGCCGCCACCTCCGTTGGGGAGCCTGCTGAGCCGTCTGCCTTGCGGTGCGAGAAGCCAGCTTTAACGGCCTTAGTTTCCACTGGACCAGCAATCGGCCTCATGGCCTCCGTCTCTCTGGCAGGCAGCGCTGGCTGTTGTGCCAATGCCGCCATCGCCAATGCTGCCTCACCTTCGTCGGAAGACACGTTTCTGGCTGGAGGGGGCTTGGCAGCGGTGGCCATCGTGGCGGTGGCGTTGATACCGCGCTTCTTCTGCACTTCCATGACTTAGTGCAGGATTGAGATAGGTGATGTAGTGGAACAAGCGCAAGAGGGCGGAGAGCGAGGGGAGACAGGCACTTGTTAGAGTCGGCTCAACGACAAGAGTTAAGCTCATTCAACTCAGCACTGGACGCACGTGTCTGCTGTTGATGAAGGGTTCAGAAATAATATCCAAAAGACTCACAGTGTTTTTGGGTGGCAGCCGTTCGCCCACGCCGATACGATATCCTGCTGTTTCTACACGTACACGGCCAGTCTGCACCATCACCTCACACTGAACTCGGACGAATCCTTTGCTGGCGCTATTGACGTTGGGGGAGGCTTGTTTCAGTGACAAACCAAACTGTTCTTGTGATTGCAACAAAACCAAGTATCTCGGCGATGACCCTGGGAACAGGCAAGATGCCAAACACACAAGACAGGCGGAAACACTGCCTATCCCATCTTAGTGTGTGTACCACGTGTTCCACCATAACGGAGTGATATCTGACCCAGTACCTGCTGTGGTGGTGGTCCCCCGCTCTCCTGGCTGAGAAGTTCCCGTGGGGGGGGTTGCGGCAGATGCATTGGCGTTCCGGTTGATGCGCTTCCATCTCCGCCGTTGAGGCGTACTGGAAGGGGCCGACGTCGAGCACGTTCCCGCCGCCGTCAACGCCGCCGTTGAACCCATCGCCTGGTTTCTGGGGTCCCCGCGATTCGCCGTATACATGACAGCAGCAGCACCGGAAGTCATGTTCGATGCCGCAGTGACTGCGTTCATGGCTTTGACGGAAAGCTGTTGGACCCACGTCACATCGGTATCCCGCATTTTCTCATCAACCATATCCTTCCTCTTCTCCGTTACGAGTTCCGCTAGGCAAAGCTCGTCCCTGGCCTTCTGAGCAAGCTCTGTTGTTTCTACTGCAGCCTTGAACGGGCACGCCGTGGGTGAGCTCGATGAGCTCTCGAAATCGTCGTCATCAAAGCTGAAGTCGTCCTCGAGGAAGCTGTGGTCGTCCTTGTCGCTCCCGTGGTCGCTGTTGCCGTTGCGCTTACCGCTCTCCCGGTGCGCGACCAAGGGGCCCCGCAGAATCGTCGCCACCGGTACGGGCGCGGCCGAAGCCTTGGCAACTTCAGCTAGCGTCCTCGCGTTACTGCGGGCTGCCGAGGTGAGCTTGATCGACACCCTGGCGCGAGCATGGTGCAGCAAAAGTGACATTTCTTGTAACGAAAGATGTACCACACGGGGAAGTCAGTCAAGGCGGTGAGCTTGGTGCATGCCCCCCTTTACATTCCCGTATTTGTTGTTTGAATCTCTCACGGCCGTAGGTAAGTCTCGCAGCAGCACGAACAACACGACAAACGATTGAGAGCGTTAGTACTGATGGACGCGAACACCCACGCCGCAGTTTCGTGGACACTATGGCAAGCAACTAGAGCAGCGATGCAGGTTTTGGGCATCTCATCAGTACGCCATCATGGTTCCGCACCAGTGCGTGCAGATGTGGAACATGGATCGCTGGCGTCAATGTGCGTCACATGTCGACAATTTCTCGTCATTATTCAAAGTTTTGCAAAAGATAGGAGCTTTGCTGTGGGCTAAGAAAGGGAGGGACACCTATGTTTCTGAAGGAGGTCAGGGTTGGGGTGGTTGCAATACCGGGGGCCTTGTTATGGGTAGAGAATGGGACGGACAACTAGGTCCTGGCTGGATTTTCTCTCAAACGACCAACCATTGTCAAACCAAGCTCTTGATAAGGCTTGCACCTCGATATACAGCTCCAAATACAGTAGTTCGCCCACAAGAGTGAGCCGGAATGTATCGGCAGGGTAGCGACAGGATGAAACAGCAAAGCGAAGTCGTGTAGGAAAAATCGGCGGGAGAACAACCGAAGTTTGACTCATCGACCACAAATATATGCTCTGGGCAATCTCGAACTTGACTCCGATAAAGACCTGCGTATGTTCGACGCCTCTGCTGTCTTGTCTATGTCCCATAGCCGATTATTGATCAACCGCTTTGACCAAGGAACGTGGTGCGTGGTGGCAGTGTTCTCCCCCTATTCTCACCTCATCGTCGGCTGCTGCTGCTGCTGCTGCTGTGGCTTCTCCGTGATTTCCAGCATGACCATCCTTCCCTTCTTCCCCACCACGACCTTGTCTTCCACTCGCTCTATCTTTTTCGACACCTCCTGTGTCCTGCCCCGGCACACGGTGCCGGGGGGCGATCTGCCTCTCGCGGCTGGCGGTGAGTCCATTCACTGGCATGTTCCGCGCAAGGACAAGCGAACAACGATGCGAGAGCAGCGTCCAAAATCAAGTAACGGCGAGAAACAGAGGCAGGCACACCCCGACCAAAACA